CACAACTTGAAATGATGTTGCATTTTGAATTCTGTCATTGGAAATAAATACCTTGCTTTCTGGGGGGAAAATAAATAAATCAGCCGTTCAAATCCATCTGGAAAGAAGCAATTCTAAATTTCTGATTTATTTCTTCAAGAACCCTTTTCAGCCAGCCCTGGTTTGGAGCACATCAAGGAAAACCGAGACATTTTAGAGCTGAACAAAACACTTCAGAGTGTTAAATCCAGAAAGAAGCCCCCAGTGAAGTTTGACACTTGGATCCAACAAAGTTACAGGTGCTCTCCTTGACCACTCAGTTTCTGGGAGCACCTGTGCTTCTCCTCACTCTTGCACAAGAGGGACAAATCCCAGCTGTGAGCATAAAAAGCATGAGGGTACAAGCATAAAAATTATGTGGTAAAAAAAAGCCAGGAGGAGCAGAAAGCAGAAAAGGAAGGAGCCTCTCTTGTGCCGTACGGGTTTTAAAGTGATTTATTTTTAGCCTGCAGTTTGCTGCTAGAGCCTCTCATCCGTAGCTTTTAAGGCTGTTACTGCTGAGGTCTCACCTTGTCTTAGGTTTAAGTGATGCTACGGCAAATCTGGGTCGCAGCAACACAGCACTGCGGAATATAACAAGTCCATTATATACCATTTTTGTATGGAGTTAGCAAATTTATAGGTAGTCTACAAAATCTTCTATCTTTTATCCCTGTAATTGCCTTTTCTAAAATTCACCAGGCAAGTGCAATCGTTCAAATAATCTCCGTTTCCCGCTAACCTAAATGTTAATCCTAGGCTGGCTCCTGTGCTTCAGCAAAACTCTTCTGACCTTGCAGGTTTAAGTATGATGCTGTTTAAGAAACTCTGTCTGCCTGAATCAGAGGCACATGGGCAAGAGAATACCAGCTCATGGGGCACAGAGAGCCACCCCCTGCCTAAATTCGTCCATGCACAGGAGCATCATTTCATATTTTGTCACCCTTCTTTGCTACTTCAACAGTATGGTCACAACTGTCTGCTGTGAATAAATGACTATGGCAGGTGTGTGATATTTTGGCCACCATACACAACACAGACCATCCAAGGAAACTCAAAACTGATCAAGAGAAGCCATGAGGAGAATAAAAAAAAAGACAAGTTTGAGCTAAGATGGATTTAAGGATTGTGATTCATTCTCCCTGTGCAGACTCTTAATGGGACACAGATCCAGATGGATGACAATTTATACCAACTGAGGAGCTGTCTCCTAATGCCAATATCACAATAAAACTTCACTTTTCTTCTGCTCATTCTTAGTCCTGACTATTTGTGGTACAAGTCTTTTGAGGCAGAAAATTCTGATTTCCGGACCTGCTTAGTGCTGAGGGGTCACAAATGCAGCATGAGCTTCTAGGCAGTACTGCAAGGCAAGTAATAAAATATTTATCCTCAACTGCCTTCTATCCTTGTATGCTCTGCAAAGGAAACCATCAAAAGCAGAGCCACCAATTTACAGTTAGAATCTTCAAAAGGAACAAAACAGAGCTGCCATATCCACATCTCCTTCGAAAACATGTTTTCACCCCTTGACCCATTGCAGAACATTTTAATTTCTTACATAATAATAACAAAAAGATCAAATTTCAAACCCAAAGGAAAATAATTATAGATGAAAAAAAGGTTATGTGGCTTAGAAAACAGGAAAGCCTTTCCACAATGACATTAACAAAGCTGCAACCTTGACATATAACAGGACATATGATGCTCAGAGCCGGGTCCCAAACTCACCTTCAGGGAACCTGAAGCTTCATGAAAGCCTCAGCATGTGCAGACACAACTTGGCTCTCGAGGGGGTGAAAGTGGCACATTACCACTCATAGAAGCAATCCTCACCTACATTTCTTGCCTTCAGCCACTAAACATGAAGCTAATAAACTCCTACCCCCCTAACTTCACCCTTTTTTTCTTTTTTAGAGTGCTACTGAAGCCATTTTTGACATGACACCACGATCTTTAGCTGTACAACTGCTTTCTTTCTTGCTTGCTGGAAAAGCCTCCTTGATGTGCAAAGCCCTGCATACCCATAGGGCCTGAACTCGTAGAGTCTCCAATGATACGCAGAATGTGGTGTGGGACTATTGGTGCTAAAACAAGGCTTCCTGCCACTCTTACCATTAGCTATGCCACAGTTAATGCTCCAGGAAAGATTAGCATGTCCCTTTCCAAGCATTAAACAGGAAAGTTGTCATAATGTGTAATGGCAGCGAGGAAATCAGCCCTGTGTGATGCATTTCTCCCTTGTGGATGCGAGGGGAGGGAAGGACCAGTGCCTGTACTTACCAGGTGGTGGAGGGAGCTGGTTCCTGCTGTGGTGGTAGTGCCAGTGGAGAGGTGGCAGAGTTTCTCCAGCAGCAGCACGTGGAGCCCAATGACCAGAAACCCCTGGAACAATGTGCTCTGCAGAGCATCTCCTCTGCTGCCACGTCCCAAGAGCAGCAATTGCCATCCGGTGCCAATGCCAGCCCTGCCACCGTCTTTTTCCAGAAATACCAAGGCACAACCCATCCCTGCACACTTAGTCAGCTGAAGGCAAAGCTGCAGGGCCTCTTCCCAATACTGCTAGACCAAGGGAGACGCTGTTTGTATTTCTGGCCCGTCACACCCCAGTTTTGGGGATGTGCAGGGACTGCAGTGTTGGAGAGGCAAACACTGTCCACTAGGTCATCTGGTTTCATACTGTGCGTCTCCTCAGTGAGTGAGGTACACAGCCCAGGGACCTTTCCCCACTCTCCCTCTCCATCTCCTGACCGATGTCTTATTTTAAGAAGGGAATTAAATTGTTTTGTAGCTAAAAAAGAAGTTACCTAGAAATTTCTGCCCATTAATCCCTTCATGTCATGCTCTGGGGTTTTCTTTTGGTCAAGCTACAGAGAAATGCAGGGCTGGGCATTCCTCAACCTGAAAGGAAAGGCACTATGCATGTGACTGGATTTTATGAAATGCTACATTTTATAGTAACAGCATTATGGTTGGGTATGAAACTGTAACAGGGATTGTGTTCAGCACCATGCAGCTTGACCGAGGAGTGTTCAGTCTGCACAACAGCAGTATCTGCCAAGGTCAAGGATGATACAAGCACAGGGAAGGCTCCCTGGAACCACTGGTCCCAGGAAACCCAGGGGAAGCTTCAACACCAAGCCACATCCACACAACGGATACAGTCTCTTTGGAAACCAACAGCAAAAGGCAATGGAAGGAAGGAGCCCTGGAAAGAGTGTTTCCAACACTGAATGACTGACGTGAGGTGACTCAGAGCTGGTCACACAAACACAACTTCCTTCTTGCCTCTATTGAGATAATTAAGGTTAAAAACACTTAGTAAAAGACCTGTGACCTTGAAAAATGAGTATGCTTTCTGCAGTGCGCCAGGGTGGCTCTTTTCCTCATGTCAGCAGAAAGCCTCCTGTTCATCCCTCTGTGAGAAAAGTGGAAGAGCCAAAGCTGCAGCTGGGTCAGATCATGAGATGGGATGGAGCATCCCCCCCACCTGGTAACACCAGGGCACTGAGCACAGCCAAGCAGAACGGTGCTCAAAGGCATTGAGTGTGCCCAAAGAAAGAACAGAGAGGAGTTCCTGGCATCTCAAGGTTTTATTGCACGGAAGGAGAAATAAATAATCTAAAGGCTGAAATGATCAGAGATGAAACAAAGTGAAAGGCAGTGATTTCCCTCTCCTTGTAAATGCCAAGTTACAACAATATTACACAAGTGATGTGTGTTGCTGGAGCTTGCCTCAGCCCAGAACCCTCGCTCATGCCTGTGTGGGTCCCTGCCAGGATGGCTGCCTGTAGGCAGGACAGTGCTCAGTGGAGGGTTTTTTCCCTGAGGAGAAGAAGCAACAGTGATGAGAGGTCCAGATAAAATCTCACACATCCCCCCAGACACTGCCCATCAACCCTAAGATGTTTTTTGGAAATCCTGCAGCACCCTCAGCTGAACTTCCCACATCCCAAATCACGGCAGCAGGAGAAACGGCTCATTGTGGGAGCTCACTGTGGGCTGGACTTTAAGCAAAATAAGCAAAGACAAGGCTAAACTTATTTTGTTAAAGCACTTCTGAATCATCTACCCCTTCAGCCAGGAGATGCTCTATATGGGCGCAGTTATGTTGCCAGGTCTTAGGTTTCATATCAGCAAGCATGTGGCAAATCACTATGAACAGCTTCTAAGACATCATTTCACAGTTATAGAGAAAAGGTCATTATTCTGCATTACGGCATTTAAATGTGCAATTTCAGTTGTGAATACCCTTCATAATCTTCTTGCCACTGATTCTGGTCTATTGTCTAATGCCTTAAAGTACTTTCTAAGACCTCGGTAATTGAAATGCTGAGGTAGAAAATTACTGTATTACAAGCAGGGAAGTTCATGCCGAGGGGAGAAGTGAATTGACCTGGAAGGTCGCATCCATCTGTGGCACAGCTGGGAGTGGGGTGCTGGCTCCTGCTGCCGAGGTCACCACTCCCAGGCACAAAGTGTCCCTAGTCACCCAGAGGACATCCGAAATGGGGTGTTGTAAGCTTTTATAGTGGCAACGGTCTTTAGACCTCAATAGGGCTTATAATTGAATTCTTTTAAACAGTTATATTGTCCTCAGAAACTCATCACTCCCTTGGACTAGCCCTTTCATTTCCAATTTTTCCCTCAGTTTGGGTAACATTTGAAGCCCAGCAATGTTGTAGTTTGCATAAACAAACAAGCTTCAAATACATAAATAACTATTCACATTCTTTATGCATAAATTCAAGTATTTCACAAGGCACCGCAGCACCCATTAGCACTTCTAAATGCTTTTTGAAGTAATGGATTGATTTTTTTTTTTGTGTGTGTCCTTCACTGGAATTGGTTTCCAAATTCCTCTCTGCTGATGAGTGAGGACTGGTGATAGCGGTCCCGTGAGGCAAAGTCAGCGTTCTCCTCGGTGAGCTGCCTGGTCTCCATGCCAACTGTTGCAAAGGACGGTGTCACTACAATCTGCTCCTTGGGAGATGGCCTTCTCCTGCAAACAGAGAAGTAGAGGTGCCTACATTACCCCTTGTTTGTCATCCATTCCCAGCCACGCTCTTGGCTGCGCAAACAAGGCAGGGTTCCTCGAGAAGAGGCTAAATCCTTCCAGGTGCCCTTTGGAGGCAGAGAGCTAACCTGAAAGAATTTTTATTAAAAGACACACAAAAATTGTACTCCCTTCCCCCAGTAAACATAGGAAAATATACATTTTCTTAACAAATAAGTTTCATCTTTGGATGTTGACTACGGCAAACACCTTCTACACTGTGCAGGAGAAGAAGGAGCATGAATCATTTCTAATGAAAAACACCCTTCTTATAGTTTCCGAAGCAATAAGAAAAATTACAGTAATTTTTGTAACTCTTTTTAAATAAAAGGGGAGATTTTCCTGCAATCTCTTTATCCCAGAGGCTGATTTTAAGAAAACCTGATTGCACATCTTTAAATCCAAACTGCAAGAGCATACAGCACTAAGACCTCGTCAAGCACTTAAGAGCCTTAGAGGTGTCAAGAACCCTTGTGACTCAACAGGAAGGTCTCCCTTATTCCTTTTCATCCTTATGGTCCCAGCCTCCATGTAGAGAATTTTTGGTTGATTTTAATTTCACACTGACTAATTTTAGGGCTTAGTTTGATTTTTCTCTGTGGGCTTTAACCATCTAGTAAGTAGTAGAGTGAACCTTGCCAACGAACTCTGAAACGCTTTCATTTTAATATTAAACCTCTGCCAGAGATTATTTGAGCGACCTAAAGGATTCACTTGCCACAACGCAGTGCACACCCTCTGCACCCCCTCACCCCTCTTCTGGGTAGTCTGTCTGACCTGGGCTCTCATCCTCTAAGGCTTAGGCAAGCTGCAGCTTTACACTGCTGTGAGAGGCAGCAGTACCTGTGTGAACAAAGCTATTCAGGGCAAGAGGTGTGGAGGACAGGTGGGTCTTCAGGGACCCAGTCCCATACTCAGAGGCATCCAATGGTCTGGTAGAGAGAGGGATGGATGTGGTGTGGGACAACTGTCTTGTCTGTTCTCAGCCTGCCATGGAGACCTCTCAGGGAGGTCCCATCTCCCCTGGCTTCTTTCCCTACCCACCTCTGTTACCAAAAGCATGTGGCCATGTTATAGGGACTGTGGGCAGAGGCAGGAGCTGGCAAGACAGACATGGGTATGTGCCAGTGTGCTTAAACTGTGCTGGACTTTCATTTACTTTAAAGGAGTCACCAAATTTGCACATATAATGCATGGCAGCTCATGTTGTGCAGTCCTTCCTACAGTGTTCACTCACCCCAACCAAAAAGCAACCAAATCAATTGAGAAACTCAAAGCCATTTCAGGTGGTCACAACCTGCTATGGGAAACCCAACATGATGGAATTAATAATTAATAGCATCAAAACAGATTAACAAAACTAGTTAATAACCAACCAAACAAACCCCTCAAGGTCTTCTGGGAATCAAATGCCAAGACAATGGACTGCAGTCCCATGCAAACTCAATACTGAATGGTTCCTTCACCAAAGACACTGTTTACTGTATTTATAACTACTGCAGCTTCCCCCCCAAATTTCCTTTCTGAAACTTGAGCACAGCTTCCATGCGTGCCAGTTCCACCACTACCATAGTAATTTGCTTTCAGTGAATGGTGGGTGGAAGAGATGGAGCATCCAATTTCTCATTTCCTGCCAGATTTTCCCATTCAACCTGAGCCATAAAGGTTGAGCACAGACCTTTGGGGTAAGATAAAGCTTCAGGCACCAAGACACGATTATCAGCTGACATGCCTACACACAGAGCAGCAGAGACTCCACTTCCCCACATCCACAGCATGTGCCAGGCTAATGAGACCAAGCAGCTATTTTTACCATTAAGTAAGAATAACTTTGAGTATGCAAGAAAGGGCAGACAGCCTGCTTAATAAGCAAGTCAATTCTTCCACCCCTCTCTGTGCACATCAGTGGGTCATTGGAACAATGAGGAACATGTTGGTCACTGCCAAGTGACTGGTACCAACCTGCACAAAGTGATCAAAACCGACTTAATCCAGCCAAAGAAACTGAAATTTGCTGCTGCTCCTATGGAGAAAAGGCACGAGAAGTCAGTACACTGCTAATTCTTTCATAAGAGCATTACACCACTCAATTTTTGCATAGAATCTCAAACCATCATGCTTGTTATTAACTTGCAAAGATTTTGTGGTGGTGAGAACATTCTTGCAGTTTTCCTACATGCTGTGGCTTTTAAACACTTGTCAAGAAATGAACCCAAGCCGTCTCTTCCCAGCCTGAGAGCTTGTCGAACCCCAGCAAAGCCAGAGCAAAGCATGGACACCCACTGCAGTACCTTTTCCTCCATGGACCACTCAAGGGATGGGGAGACTGGAGAAACCATTCAGCCAACCTCAGCCAGGGCAGCTGTGGTCTCACCATTCATTCCCTCGTCTGACCCCACAGAGAGCTGGCTTAGCATATTACACCAACACTTTTTTTTCTTTCTTTTTAGTTTCTCTGTAGAGTTAGTTTCCTGCGCTGGCTCCCTGCAGGGGCAAGGAAGTGCTGGAGCTGGAAGCAAAAGCAGCAGGAGAAGTTTGTGGTGAGGGACAGAGAGAAGAGAGACCTGTCAGTGCCTGCTGGATTTGGCTTAGGCTGCTGGGGGGGAAGAGAGAGGAGAAGAGATGTGTCAATCACAGGGCATTTCTCCTCTCAAGGCCTTCATCTAGTCCTTAATCCAGAGCATCTCTCAGACCAGTGTTTCCCAGCCTTTCTAGACAAAAGGGTTGTTCAAACCTTTGAAGAACAAACTCACAGATCACCAGAAGCCTTGTGACCACAAAATAACGTTCACTTATAGCCAAGTAAAAATCAGGCTGAACTTTGAGTGTTTCCTTCCAACATTTTCATTGCCATGCACTGTTTGTGTATGTATGTATGTGTGTATGCATAAATAGGTGAGTATGCCCACACTGTCCTCCTTTAGACACGCAGAGCAATGCAAACCCCTCCAGTGGCCTTGCTAAGGAGCTATAGGCTCTCATGAGCTGCTTTCTGAATGTGCTTCACTGTTTAATTTTAAACTTGTTCAAGCTGATCACATGCACAGAGCCTTCTAATGCCCTCTGCCTAAAACTATTTTCCCAGATTATGTTCCCAACACTTTCAATGTGTTTAGTTCTGGAATCAAAAGGCTCTCTTGTTCCACAGTTACGAATGCTGAGATTTAGTGAGATACTCATTTTCCTTAAAGCTTTCTCAGGTGGGTTTAGATTGATTAAGTTTATTAAAACTAATTTATAGTGGATTTTTCTCATTACTGTTATACATTTACAAACTGCCACCCCCATTAAGTCTTAGTATTAGTATCTGGTTTTGCCATTTAAAGTACAATACAATAAAACAATAAGCATTATGTTCAAACTATCAAATCAGCACTAGCTATAGTTATAATCCAATAGAAAATTAAAGAGTCAGAGAGAAAATTTATTAAAACTAGCAATGAAACAAAACCTCATCATTCACCGTGTCACCTGCATATTAAACACAAGAGTCTCAATTCCTAATGAAGTTAAATTAAAGCTTAATGAATTTTTAAGCAGATTTAATAATACAGGGAAAAAAATACTCACCAAGGGGAAGTCCTGGGCTCACTTTGCCAATGTAGAAATACAGAATAACCGCTGCACCCAGGCTGACCAGGGTGTAGATCCATTGAATGACAAACGTTATGATGAGGGACACAACTGCCTGTTGGAAAGACATGGTTTGGGGTTATCCCAGAGTCTGTAAGGTAATATGATGTTGACAGTCCTTTTTCTGCAAAGCCCAGCAGCTTCACTGACCTCCTGCTCCAGCAGAAGAACTCTCTGTGGGAGAACTGGCAGTGTGGTGCCCGGGAAGGACTGTTCACCTTCAGACACAGCCCAACACTGACCAGGTCAGCAGCTTATTCCTCAACCCGGCAAGATGAGCATGGACAGCAACTCTTAACAGATACTCTTCAATAACTGAGGCAGTGCTGGGACTTTCAAGTTGTTATGAGAGCATCAGGAAATGCACTTCTTTCCCCCCTCCCCCCGAAATGCAGCATCTTGGTGTTCAATGCATGCAAAACCAGTGCTTTGATGGCATCGTCACACCTCTTTCTCAGGGTTTGCTTGAGAGTCTTGTGTAAGAGACATGTACAGTCAGGCCCCAGGATACAGCCATTCAGAATTATCCTGATGAGTGGGTCCTTTTAGGTGTCTCCTCCTAACGATGTACTGGGATGGGCACACAAGAAAGACTCTCCTTGCACAAGACCTGCTGCACAGCCCAGATCCTGCCCGTGGGAGTGATGATGCCACCTGCAATCACATGGGTGGATGGATGCCCTTGGGCATTGGTGGCTGAGCCCAGTGCTGCAGCAGGACCCCTGAGGACCCACACCATCTCCTGCCTGGGAAAACAGCCCACAGCAAGTGGCTTTTGGCCACACAGAGAGCATTTCCACCTACTGTTATCTGAAAAGATTAGGGTATGTCATGGCTGAGGGTTCCTGGAAATGAGGTTCCCATGATACAGAAAGCCTCATTTGGTCTCACTCCTAAAAGGAGAGACAGCACAGGTTTACAGTGTCATTTTCAGCAGCATGGAGCTTCAGTGAGCTACCCTGAGTCCTAGAAGCAGTGTGGGTCTCCAAGACTTGGGCTTGGGCTACTCCAAGAGAAGTATCCAGAGGCTCACCAGCTCAGAAGACAGATTTGGCTCAAGTGGCATATGAATGGGGTAGCATCTCCATGGGTGACATTAGGAACAGCAAGGGGCAGCATGCAAAGGAAGAGCTAAATGAGTCCCGACTGACACGACCAGTGAAGCTCAAAAAGAGAGGCCAGAGGGCAGGGGGGAAAGGAGTCAGGATAAATAAACACACCTGTTTTTTGCTTTTGTGATTTTATATTTTATCATTGATCCTGTCCCAGCTCTGTTGCAACCTCCTCCCAAGTCTGACTATTGACAGGGAACCAAATCTGCTTTAATGAACACGTCAGTCATCTCCTGCAAAGGCAGAGAACTGAATGCTCTGTCCTGACATACACTTGGGAGCCACATTAGTTACAGAGCCCAGAGGTGGCATCAGCACATAGCCTCCTAAAGATGACATCACTAAAGAGGGGCCACCACATCCAACCCACCCCTGGTGCTGCAGCCTGGTGGGACCCCCCATAAGGACCCGGCTGCAGGCAGCAGCAGCAGTGAATTTGAAAAGCAGGTATCAAACTCCATCTGAGGATTAAACTAACAGGGTCTGGTGGGTTGTTTGAGTGGGTTTGTTACATTTTATGCACAGCTATGAAATCCTCATCCATGCAGCAAAGCCATATGGTTCATTCATTATGCATATCTGACCCTTTCCCTGTCATCTGCCCAATAATCAATCTTCCCAAGATGAATTTAAATGTCCTAAATTTCTCAGCAGCTTGAGACAGAAGCTATTTATAAATTATTTATTCTTTAGAGTAACATACTGGAGGAATGCTCTACTTTCCTCCCTCAAAAGATGGAATTTCACAGCCGGGCTGCTGGAATCAGGAGGTCAGCACTAATGAAACCCCACCCCAAGCTTGCAGAAACTGGCTCATAAATAAAAGCAACACAGCTTTGAAGCTGATGTCTCAATCCATCCCACAGCAAGAAAAAGCAGGCTGGCACACAGTGAAAAGACGGACACTGATCTTTTTCCTAGACAGCCATGCATCTTTAAAGTTTAAATTACAGACCTTGAATCTGTACCTTTTTGTTTTGAGTTGGCGCTTTTTTGTTTGTTTATTTGGGGGCTCGGGTTTTTTTTTCCTCTTGTTTAATTTAATATGTCATCAGGCTTTCTCTGAATTTGAACTGCTGGATGCATGGTACCTTGAGTACTTTAATTCAGGTATCCTGGAATACTAGATTCAAAAGCCATTTTTTTAAGTACTGGAGTGTATTTTGTGATGATTTTCCTTCTGTTTTCTACAATCACAAACCACTGCTCAAAAAAAAAAAAAAAAAATTACTTACAACAGCAAAGGACACCCAGTGACTGAAAAATCTGGAGTAGAAGGCTTCTGGTATTTGCTGAATTCCCAGCTCTGGATTTTGTTGCTTTATAGATGTTTCTACAGAAAAGAAAAAAAAAAGATTACAAAAGAGCTATAGTGTGGGGTCTTTTCTTCTATTTTACCAGATTCTAGGAACCAAAGCAAAAATTCTAGCTGACTGCTGAGTATGACAAAGTTAACCAAAAACTCTAAAATGAAAACTGAAAAGAAGTGCAAGAAAAAACAAAAAAGGTTGCCAACTCTGGTACTGAGTCCATTTGAAGGCTACATCTGTCTATCTCTGCCTCAGTTTCCCTACTTTGTGAAATAAGAAAAATAATAGTTTCTTCCTCAGAGGGGTTTATGAAGCTTCACTGACTAATGCTGATGAAACACTACAACACTGGGAATGAGAAACTCCATGCAAACACACTTTATCAAATACCCACAATCACAAACAGAACAAATTCAGACCCTCAGTTATGGATGTTGAATTAGAGTCCAGCTGTGGCACTGGGACCACTGAATTTTGATAGCCTGAGTTTTAGACTCACATGGCTCCATTCCTCCTAACCCACACCAGGATGAAGAAAATCCCAAGATACACTCAAACCCTTTTTAATGTACAGCATTAAGCATGTCTCTGTAGAATTATGAGTATATAGTAAACAACTCAACACTAAATATAGTCCTGCCTGCTTTCCTGTGATTAATCTTCTGTAGGAAATCGCATTGGAACTTCTCCTGTGATGCATTGCAATGAACTCTACCTTCACCTGGAATAAATGATATTATTGCTATGAATCACTGAATGACAGCCCAATATAAAGCAAGTTTCACGCCTGCCTTCAGGAAAGCACTGGGAGGGCCAAGGTTATAAACCATTCCCTCTGAGCTTGGAGATGTCTGTCTCCTAACAGCCCTTAGCCTCCTCCTCTCTGGCCAGGGAGCATCATCACTTCTCTGCAGAACTGTTCCTCCTGCTGCAGCATCCCAGATGTGTGTTGGGCAGACACAGTGGGTGAAGAACACTGACCTGCATCACTCTGACAGCCCTGCTCATCCAGGTCCCGCTGGCTCTCGCTGTGGGGCCCTGTGGTCTCATCCCAGCTGTACTGAGCTGGGGCAGCATCGTGATGGAGATCCAGGAGAAAGCTGTCTTGTAATGTCTGCTTGGCTGGCTTCTTCGCCTTTTGTTTGGCCTTTCGGGTTAAATTCTCAGCTCCTTCTTTTTTGCAAGTACCTGGCTCACTACAAAATGGTTTAAAAATCTGGTCCATGTCTTTTTTGAACTCCAGCAAGGTGCCATTTGATCTGCTTTGAGTTACTCCATCTGCTGCATGGCTTGAGGGCTTGTTGAAAATTAAAGGCTGGGAAGAGTGAGCAGGTCTAGTAGTTCCCATCTGGGTCTCGTCAGGCTTCTGCTGAATATTGTGGCTCAAGGAGACAGAGAAATAGCAATAGTCTACAGCAGTATATGTCAACATGTAGTTGATGGTGACTATGGGAGCAAGAACATTTACTTGCCCAATGAAGACAAAAGCCATAGTGATGAAACTTGTTAAGAAAATCGCAGCCACTGGAGTCTTGTTGGGGCCTTTCTAATTCATAAATAAAACAAAATTACATTTAAATTAATAACCATGAACCTTGCCATAAGGATTCCCCACTTGCTCAGCTGCCATGGGTGGTTACCTGGGTTGTCTGCAAAGTACCCCCTTAGTCATGAAATACATGCATGCATGTGCAAACAGAGGCTCACAGGCCTAACAAATTAAAGAATAGGCTGGAAGCCAAAAGCTGTTGAGCTCCCACTTCATCCCTGAGCCTTACTCAAGCTTTGTCTTTGAAAAATTCATCCACTCTCACTTGTATCTCCATGGTAAAACAATGTCATTAAAGCAGCAATAAACCTTCAGAGAGATTTGCGGGGCTTATGGGAAGTCTGGCAATAAAACGTGTTAATTAGAGTTAACTGTTCATCTCTAATTATTCTACAGGACTCTGCATGGCTGCCTACCCCAAAGGCTCCTGTATGCTGCCCTTGGAAAGGCTTTGACTGCCACGGTCAAGGAAGCTCTCCCTGCACAGATCAGCAGCTTCTGGCCCTGCCCTGACACACAGCTGAGCTAAACCCATGGTCTGCTGAGTCTCTGCACATGGGGTTTCCCTCCTTTAACTCACCCAAGCTGCATCTACCCAACAGCAGGAGGAAAGCAGCAGTGAGGCTGGGCAGGAGGGATGCTGGAGGGTGGGAGTCAGCCCCCAGCAATGCCAGGCATGTGTTGGGAAAGCAGGCAGCCAGGAGAAACATCCCCTGCTCCTCTCCTTTGGGAAGGGGTGGAGGCAGGGAAAGGAGGAGACAGAGAGAGAAAGCAAAGAGCATTAGGGGTGGAAATACTTGAGCCTTCAGCTCATGAACTGAGCCCAGGTCTAACATGCCCTTCCTTGGACCAGGCACCATGTTGCCATTTTGCCACCTGAGAAATCTATGCAGGCTGTGTAAAGACCTTGCTGGAAAATATCTTACAAAATATGCTAGGTTTTCACTTACTGCATTTACTTCTTTAATAAACACACAGCTCGAATTGAAACTATTTCTATTTCCTTCCCTCTTATTTATTAACAGAAAGGGGGACCAGTTCTGGACCATTACATCTTTTCAGAATGAACAGAAATACAGCTCCAGGACACAGGAACACAGATCTCAGAAAGCATCTTCAGTATCAGAAAGATGCACTGAGATGGGGAACAGATGGAATGATCTCATGATGCTTCTGGCTTGGGTTTAACTCTACAGAAAACATTTGTGTCCTTCCCATCAGCTGAGGTTTTGGTGACCAGACTTTCGTCAAAGAATAACTGATGTGGTACAGAAGGGTAAGGACAAATTAGATGTATTTACTCTCCATAAACCAAATGTAAACAATTTTCAAGGTGACAGAGAGAAGAAAGGGGCAAAAGTGATCTGTCTTTGATTTCTCACCTCTTTTTGAGCCCTTCCCATCAAGGCACTCTGCCTGGAGTTCACTGCAGAAAATTTGACAGAAAGACAGAAAACTATCAGAGCAGAGAGGGAATCAACTTTCCAGCCAACTTTGATAAACCACTGAGAATTTCACAAGGGTTGCCAAGTGGAGAACAGTCTGTTCTGGGATCACCTGAAAACTGCTTTCAGGAGCTGGAAGTTTTTGCTGTTGTTATTATTCCTACTTTCCCTATAATTATTACTATTTATTATTATTGCTATTATTATGACTTTTATCTTAGCAAATTACTTTGAGAAACATAAAACAGTGGATAGAAAATTATTATATTAATAAACATTTAAATATTTTAAAACATTCATAAATACCACTATTGTAAAATATTTTTCTGTATTTACAAGGTGCTCTGGAGGAGCAGAGCACCATAAGGCTTTTCCAGCCACTCCACACACAGTTAGGTACTGCAGGTTATTGAGAGTCATGGAATTATTTTCTCCCTCTCCAGAATAATGGAAAATCATAAGAAATTGTTTGCTCTGGATGTATAACCCAAGACTACAGTCCTTGGTGACTGATACCTTGACTGATATCAGTAGAATGACTCATGAATGAAGATTATTCATGAGGACAAGGGAAAAGCTTTTTGTCATATTCCAAGCAAGACTTTGTTTGAAAGCATATCTAAGGCTCAGAAGTCCCCTAACTTAACCTTTCAAATCTATTCTTTGTTTTTATTTAATAGCGTCCAAAAGGCACCTTATCTTACAAAGAAGAGTCCTCTTCTCCAGTGCACAGAGACTGAATCCACAGCACCATGACTAGTCACATCCTCAGCTATGAGGTTACCACAGAGGACAGGAACAGCTCAAAGAAAGTGTGCAGGAAAAAATAAGAAAAAAGAAAACAGAAAAAAAAGGTAAACAGACAGTTACCATCCATTTCACCAAGTGTAGAGACAAAATTTGAGGCTTCTGCCCTGGACAGAAGGGCAGAGAAGAGCTAGGTACTTCCTTTGGTCATGGCCAGGATCAGCACCATGTAGATAAGGTGTTTGCAAAAAATATCCAACAGGCAAAGTTATAAGTTATATCATAAGTGGCTGTTTTACTGTGGACATCTTGAAGAAGTGGGTCAGAGGGAGGGAGGGGACCCCAGGAACGGCTGTCCACGCGTGGCAGGACAGACAGACCCAGGCTGGGGCACAGAGGTAGGTGAGCAAAATGCCAGGGAGAAGCAGAGCTGCTCCTGCACAATGACACACCCTGTGGGAGGGCTCAGGGCAGGGAAAGGACCACAGGCAGCTGGATGCCTTGCTTTTTTCATGAAACCACCCATTTCCTGGCTTTTCTGCCTATGCATAGCATAGTGGATCCTGAGCCTTCCCCTCCTTGCATTTCACACATCCCTCATCTCACTCTACAGACACATGTTGGGTGTTTAAATTCAGGTGAAGTTTTGACAGCAATCTCAGAGAAGGGATGACTAACCCCATGTCCAAGGAAGGTGAGCATAGGGATCACATTCTCCTGGGCAATGCACTGCAGGATCCTCGGTGCTCCATACAGCCCTCCCATGCAGGAGGCCAGGGATGAGATGTACAGCCCTAGCAAAAACAAAAAACCCACCAAGGATACCTGGAGGAAGCAGAGAAAATGCAAAGTTGATTATATTGTCCTTTAAAGACCCCCGAGCAGTCTTAAATACACGTATTTTAAGAGATCACATATATTTTGTAACATTGTTAAATGAACAGAGAGAGCCCTGGGAAAGCAGCTATTTAATTGGTCTGTGGTAAAAAGTACAAGCAATTAATACAGGAAAATTATCCCATAAAAGTAATTTAATACTGAACATCCTGTACCGACAGAGACATTTTACAAGCTCATATCCAAGAAATTCTTTGTCACTTGGAGCAATTGCAGCAAAGCTGCAGCTATTAGATTCCCCTTAAGTAACTGGAAATGAGTTTATTTCAGGAGAGATCACTTATATACAGAGCACATCATACAGGAAAAGCTGCCCAGGCTTCCAACCATCCAAAACAGGAAGACAAACCCCTGCGTCTCAGAGGGGAAAACCAATCCTGAAAGAAAACCCACAGTAAAACCAAATCAAAATTGCCACTTAAATAAATGGCATCTCAAAAAACATGCTCCAAAGGATATAATACAATGACCTTATTTTCCTGTCTTCGATGAGAAAAGAATTTCCTTTGGCCAACATGAAACTTTAAAAAAAAAAAAATCTTTAAAGCCATAGTGCTAACAAGGCTGGGTTTAGAACTGGTTTCTGGAAAGCATCCTTTCAGTCTGGGAGTATCTCCTGCAGGCGTGGAGGAAAAGGAAAGGCAGTTCTTGGTCTGTCACACAGAAGCAAGGACAGGGGTCCCTCTAAGCAGGTCCCACTGTCAAGAGCTGCAAGCACAGACAGCACATCTAAAAAAGCCCACCCAAATACACAAACCCCCACAATATGAACATTGTGAAAGAAAGCTTTGAAATGGGAGTGCTCCTTGCACCACTGTGTAAGGACATGGACAGTCACAACTAAGGAAACTAAGGTCTAGGGTCACCTGAGCCATCCCCAAGTCCTGCAAGACCACACAAGTCTGACAGCCAACAGCCAGGCACAAAGAGCAGCAAGGCCTGGGGGTAACACCAGCACTAAGGCCAGGCAGAGAGAAAAACCCTGCCCATACTCCACTGAAGCAAGTGCTGGAGGTGCAGACAGACATCTGTGGCAGAGGATGTCACCAAATGCAGGTGCCCTGCATCCCACATGTCTTTTGCTCTCACCCCTCCTGTCAAGGAAAAGAAGGTGAAAAATGAACACTGGTTCTCCTAGGTTCTGCCCCTGTTGAAGTCAGGTGGCACATTCTTTATTAGAAGGAATTACAAAAATCTACATGGCTAAAGATGAGTCAAGCAACATCTGGCTTTTTCCTGTCTATGAAATCTGCATGCAGCAAAAAGGAGATTGGGTAAAAAAACATAAAAAGTTCATTGTTTGGGGAAGGCATGTAAAATCAATGTCACAATCCAGAACCGTACAAACTTCCTACCACAACATTGCTTTTCCCCATGAAAATCCACTTGGCTTTGTGAATTTTATCTTGTGGGACAGAAGAAACCTGAGGCAAAGATGAGCAGACATCAGCTGCCATTAGACCAACAGACACTCAGTGGGAATCTTCCCTTCCCTCCCCTCTAATCCTACCCTGCTCTGAAAAATACTTGGAATAAACAAACAGTTGTGCCAGACATCATATATTATTTTAGCTGCTAAAAATGCTCGCATTTAAATGTGCTACTTGACATTCAAATCAGGGTTAGAGGGGAAGAGTCCCTTTCACTGAGGCTGATGAAAGGGTTTGCTGTGGGTTTTGAACACAGAGAGTGTGAATATATTGCAAGGAATTGGCACTTGGAACTCATTAGAAGTGAAATTACTGAATCTCATTTTTATGTTTAAAAAGACAAACAAATATTGTACCAAGAAAAGCAGCCAAGCACTCGCTCACCTGTGAGTGACAGAAAGGGAGAGTTTGGAGGAGTAATGATCTCTCCCTCCTCCCTCTCTCCGATGTAATTAAAATCTAAAGCAGCTAGATAGCTTAAAGAAGCAACATGAATATTGGGACTGCATCATTGGTTCGTTCAGTACTAGGGAGACAAAACCTGAAGAAGCTTTTTCTTTTTTTTTTAGGGGAGGTGTGTTTGCTTGTTTGTTTTTTATATTTATCATTATTAAATATCTTCTCATTCTTTACTAGGAGATTTTTCATCTCCTCCCTAAGGGTTTTGAAGTTAAAACACAGCTTTAACAATCTCTTTCTCTTCAGCTGATTCATTTAAATCTGATTCTTTTAGTTACTGCACTTTTCACCCACTAAGACATTTATGAACAAAGAGGTTGCCTTACAGAAGGTAGGCTCATTCTTTTTTACCCTGAAACAGAGATTTTTTTTTTACGTCAGCACGAAGTGGCAGAGCCCCACCAACAATCTGGAGTTTATTTGGGGGGCTGGAAGAAGTCTAGAGCTAAAATTACTTAGAAAACAAAGCCAGGGTTTTAAACTGACATTTTAGATTAAAAACCATGTTACAAATCAAATAACACAAGCTTCTCAACTTCAAATTAATCACAAGAAATTGTGTCAAATACAGTGACCCCATGATTTTGGATAATACCAAATAACAGAAAATTAGCCCTTTTATATCCCATTCAAGGTAAGACAATGGCACACACCAAAATCTTTTGCTCTCCTTTTAAAGGCCTGCAATGGTGAGACGTAGCATGTTACACTACAAACCTCCCTCGTGTACAGACACCCGTGTGGAACGTCTGGAGTTTAATAATCCTATTGCTTGCCCTGCAATTACAGCCTGCTAGATATGGAAATGTGAGCTTCGCTTGACTTAGTAAAGATAAGCAGGGGAGTTCTTTAGAGATTTCAATTTGGTCTAAGCTTTCACACACGAGAAAGGATACATTGAATAAAATACAGCATTTATCATTAGACCACATTAGCATACTTTAGCTCTTAAAGCTATTGCTTGGGTGATTATGCCAAGATTCAGCATTACTGGATATGCTGGTGAATGCAAAGCTATTCAAATCAATTGTACACTGGGATTTGCAATAGGGAAATCCCCCTGAATTTTAATGAGGGATGCGTACCCAAATTCCTTAGGCTTTTGGAAAATTCAAGCATTCAGCAAGGCAGATGACAACCTGAAAGCACTGCTCCATAAAACCATGCTGGGTTATTTGAACAACTTACCTTCTCTGCTATCATGAAGTCATAGCGCAGTGACTGACGGGTACAAATGGCTCCCAGCAAAAAAACAAAGACCATGTACAGAAACCACCTGCAAACAACAAAAATAAACTTTTTTTCCCCCCAGCAAGACAAAGCCATTGAACATTCTGCTCACTAGGAGAGCCAGGAGACAGTCAAGTACCCACAAGTTTGGTCATGGATGACTCTGCATGGTTCCTGCATGATTTAGCTTCAGGGCTAAATTTAATACTGGTCCTTATTACCCACTATGATGTGCCAGGGACAGCTGCAGCAGAACTGTATGGTACCCCTGAAGGGAAGCCACCAGCACTCTTGAGGTGTGCATGGAGAAATATCCCAGTCCTGGGGACATACCTTTTAGTAGGGCCTGCAGCAACAGGACAAAGGGGTAATGGTTTTAAACTAAAAGAGGGTCAATTCAGACCAGCTATAAGGAAGAAATTTTCTACGATGAGGGTGGTAAAACATGGGAATAGGTTGCCCAGAGAGGTGGTGGATGCCCCACCTCTGGAAACATTTAAGGTCAGAATGGATGGGGCTCTGAGTAACCTGATCTAGTTGAAGATGTCCCCTCTCATTGCACAGAGGTTTGGCTAAATGGCCTTTTAATGTTCCTTCCAGCCCAAACCATTCTGTGATTCTGTGGTTCTGCAGGTACACAGGTCCCCCCATCCGGCAGCAGTGTTACCAGCACAGCCAGTCTGCTCTGCAGCCTCAGTTATGATCCTCCTCTGGGGTCTCTGGCCCTTCCAGTACTCAGGTGGGGAGATAAGTTAGTCTGTCTGTAAAGCCCAGACAGCAGAGATGGGAATCACATGGCCATGAATAGCTGGGTATCTGTTATGCTCCTGAGTCCTGTGGAATGCCCCCACTTAAAACAAGCACCAATTTCACCAGGAATCCTTCCAAATTTTGAAGATCCTTCCTTCCTGACTGAACCTTGGTACACAGTTAAAAGCAATAATTTCAAAGGTAATTTAGGTGGCAATGAAAGCAGGCAGGAAAACCTACTGGGGGGGGGTGTTAATACGTAGCAGTACTTTACTCCTAGAAAGTTGCATTTCTTCAGGGAGAGCATTACTTGGCTTGGATGCAGGGCTCCTCTGTTACCCTGGCCTTGCAGGTGGGTAGGTCATCTCACCTGTCTTGGCCTCATTCTCTCAGTAATAAAAAATATAAATTTTTAATTATTATTTTCTATTTCTATAAAGAAATAAAGAAAAAAACCATAAAAACCCCTCTGAAATCAACAGCAATAAATGACAAAATCACATACCCCAAGCCTTCAAGAAATCTGCATCCCACTCTGGGACAGCCAGGCTGCAGGAGTTCAACCATTCCAACACCAACACACATTCCACCCAGCAGAGGAAGGACATTAACAAAGATTTTCTCTAACCCACCCAGACTACGTGGTGGTAATGGATGATAATTTGAATGAGAGCCACACTTTAATTTTCCAGATGGCTGAGTAATACAAGGTTGATGGGAATGTGAAATGGATTGGTCACACCCAGGGCTGTCTCCAGAGTAAATTTTCCCCAATCTGTGACTTACGAGGTGCCAATAGCAGCCAAAGACCCCAGAGGGATGTTGGTGGGAGGATTCCGGAGATCTCTACTCATGTCGAACCCAACCATCACACCTGTATTTTGCAGACATAAGTGCAATTTAGAGCCAAGAGAAGTTATAGTACATATAATACACATTAAAATATGTAATATAATTTAATCAATCAGTTCATTGATTGATTCAGAGTAGTAACTGTATCACTTCATTGCACTGCCACACAAACGAATACTGGCCCCCATGGATTGCTTGGTAAGAAACTGTGTCTTTCATAGAACCAAGCCACTTCTAACACATCAAAGAACCCTTTGTCCAGTTTGAACAACGCTGGGCAGGGGAAAAGAAACAATATCTGAACAAAACCCGTCTTATCGTAATACAAACCTCACAGAAGACAATGTAGTCCAATTGTCGAAAAGAAAAATGCCAGTGTTCATCACGGCAGCACATGTAGCAGGTGGTACTACCCCCGGACCAGATCCATTACAGGTCCCTGCATTCATGAGGGACAGCCACCCTTACAGAACAGCCTGTCCTGTCCATGTTGAGTGATGATCACATGCACATTTAGCAGAGGGAATAACAGTGCTCTCTGCACGTAGGTGGCACCTTCCAGCCAAGGGATCTGCTTTGGAAGTAGGCATTATCTCTGTTTTCCAGATAGGAAAACAGAAACACTGAGAGGGCAAGTGATTGTCCCAGCGTCACGTAGAAAACACATGGTAGGACTAAGAATAAAGTACTGAACTGTTATTTTAGGCCAGAGTACAGGGTATTATACAATCAGGGAGAGTCCTTAGCCTAAAAAATTACCATCTAAAGACGCAAGAAAAGGAAACGGGATGAAGCAAAGTATTAGAGCCTCCACATTAAGACTAGAAACCCAAGGTACAGAGTGGTTAAGAGGCTTTGTCCATGGCTGAAGGAGGAGTCAAACCAGCCTTGTCACATTATCCCAAAAGTTTTCCTAGAAGACTGCAGGTATCTCCTATAAATAATAAATAAATAAATAAAAATCTGTGATTTAAAATCATGACGACAATTCGGACAATTTGAAGGCAGGACCAAAGAGCCTCTTTAAGATGCGAACTTCTGCCCATCACCATCCCACCCCTCAGATGTCAGACAAATGTCTCCATAATGACACGTGGGCCAGGAGCCAGCCAGCAGTGCTGATGGAATGGTCTTCCCAAGATGAAGGATAAACAGAAGCCATGGGACAAATCTCAGGATAAAGGGGACAAACACAGATCAGCCAGATGGATGCCTTCCCTATTACCTACAGACCTTGCATGGCCACTGATAGGCTGCCAACAGGGCACAATGGCTGGGTTGCCAATCAAGGAACAGGAACTCGTCTCTGCTCTGTCTCAGGCTTTGCTGTGCATCTTCATAGCTCATCACCTCATCTGCTCCATGGAAATCATAACACTTCCTCTCCTCACTGCGTTGCTGTGAGGATAGCACATAAATGAGCACGAGGCACCAACCTGTTGCCAAACACATCCATGGCTTTATTTGTTTATTATTAATACCTTTTCCTTGTTCATCTCTCTTTTTTCCCCTTGATCAGTCCACTCACCAGCCATCTTTTTCTGTCATCTCCACCCTGGAGACAGAGCACCAACAGCCACTCCCTGGTCCCCACAGAATCCTGGCATTTCTCAGCTTCTGGAAGAGCTTTTCCTCCAGATTCAGACCAGATTGACGCCATACCAAAAGCATTACAAATCAAAATGAGTTCCTTAATTTTCTCCTGGAAGACTATTTTGTGGATGTATTTCTGAACAGCACAGCTAAAAGCCTGTCAACTGCTGTAGTTTTCTCTAGATAAAGCATCCAAGCCCTATTCAAGCCCTGTGCCTTTTAAGCAGTTACACAACAGGCTTAGCTGGAGGTGAAAAAAGTTAGGCAGAAGTCCATGGAAATGGTCACAGACATCATGCTAAACAAAGTCTCTGTGAAGCACTCTTGATGACACGCTACTTTGCCATTCAGGGACAAAGCAGAAAGCTGAGAATACTCTGATTTTTTCTTCCAAAGGGAGCAAACTATTGTCAGGAGGACAGATGTTAATCTCATGTGCCTCTTTGCCAAGTCTCTCAAACATCTGGCACCACCTTTAAATCTTACATCTTGAGCTTTACTCACCTCTTCCTCATCCAAAGTCCTGCCTCAGCAAAGCACTGAGGAAACACCAAAACAGCACTTTCTGGACTGAACTTGAAGAAAGTTGAAGAAGTGAGTCATCAGCACAGCGGTGACTGCACAGCCCGGGCTGCCTCACTGCCTCCCTCCCACGGACCCACGCACACTCAGGAGCAGCCAGGAGATGACCTGCCAGAGCCCACATAAAGAGGATCTGGAGACTGATGACTGACCTCCTGCTGTGCAATGATCAGGGGTCAGATCCAGGCCACTGCTCACCATTAGCTTCTGCCACGGCCCCCAGGAGGTCACCACAGTCTCATGGCTTCCAGGGCCAAAGGCCAAGGCCATCATAGAGGGAACCAACAAAGATATTCTGAGCCACTAAAGCCAAAGCCATCTCCTCTGTGCTGCAATTATGCCTCTGACCTGACTAGTACAAAAGTATGGACAATCTGGTAGTACAGATGTATGGACAATGCCAAAGTCACCTCTTCATCACCACCCAAAAAGTAATTTTCCAGATGGGATGACTGCTCTCAAAGAGCAGTTCTAAGAAGGTCTTTTGTAAGACTAACCAATCCACTTTCCAATGAAAGGACAACCTGATTAATTTTTAAAAAATACCATCCTAAACAACCTCCACCATCCAAAGCCTCTGACAGCCCCTGCCAGAGAACTGGTCTGACTTGCAAGAAGCCACAAAAAGCCTTGCCAGAGATTCTGGCTGCATGACAGAGTAAAAACCCTACGCTTGCATATGAAACTCAAGAGAATTCAGGACGTTCCTTTCTTCAGACACAGGGACGAAATCCCTAGGGAAATGGCCAATCCCCTCTGAACTCAATCATATCTGTAGACTGTTCACAGAGAAAATTATCCACCTCTCTGTTTCAACGAGATAGCAGGCTGGATTTTCCACACTGGCTATTATCTTAGAGAGCAGCAGATAATGACAAAGCTTCTGGACAAGGGAGCATGAAAACACAGTCAACCCAGCCAGGAAATTATGGCTGAGACGGTCTGTACATTGCTGCTATTCCCAGTGTAATCTGGCTCTGGGCATCATCCAGGTGGTGGACACATGCAGGACGGGACCACCTACATTGTCTGTTAGACACCATCACCAGCTCCATCAGCTCTGGCTTCTAACTCCACCAGCTATAGTTTATGACTGCAGATATGATCGCTTGCAAACACCCATTGCATTTTTCAGTGAACTTACTATAAAATATAAAAGGGGTTTTTTTTTCCTTCACCCAAGAGATGAAGAATGGAAAATGTTAGATAAGAATTGTAGCTAATTTTTTTAAAGGGCCAACTTCTCCACTGATGTAAGCTGGCACCTCTCCATGGACTTTAATGGAGTTGTGCCAGCTTACATCATCTGATAACTTAGCCCAAAGCTTCTAAATCTATTTGCTGTCATTTTGCAAGTGCCAAATATGGTTTATTTCAGAACTGGTTTCAGCACGATGACACTTTCCACTACCGCCGCTTCAAACGACAACTTACTTTCTTGTATCGCATGACAACACACTTCTCTCATTAGACAGAAAACCTTGGGGATTTTGTAGAAAAAGAAAAACATTTCTTGCACAACAGAAATGACATTTATCTTCATTTTAAAAATGCATTGATGGCTGCATGGCTGCTGCTGGGAGCTGACTGTGGGCAGGCAGCTCCCAAGACTCCCTCCCTGTGCTGGGTGGTTTGCTGAGTGTTTGCCTGTCACAGCACAGCAGCAAAACACGTGCATTAAGAAGGTATTTACAAACATGTAGAAAAACCTCTGCTTAATGCACAGCATCTCTATAGGGGCATGTTCACATCTGAGTATCTAGTGAGTACTTCAGTCTTTTTGACTGAAACCAGCAAATCTGAGTCTTCCATGCCCTTTTAGGCCAGCTCTAGATGTATATTTTGGATCGCTCAGCAACTTCTCTGTGATTAAATGACAAACTTGGGGGAATAAAGCCAGCTGCACTGCACATCCAACTGAAATGGTTTAAACAGCTATTACCCAGGGAGCAAACAGAGCAGCCTCTGCTTACCAGCACTCAATCGTAAAACCAGGATAACTTCACTCGCGTTGCCGGAGTCATACCCATAAAATACAGGGAAATAGAAAACAACCCGACTTGAAGCAAAACAATCCAAGAAGGATGGTTGTAGGAGGCAGCATGTTGCTACTGGTCTACAACAGGCTGGGATGACCAGCCCATGCCCTCCAGTTGAAGTATCCCCTTGACAGCTCCTCCTGCCTGTTTGGTCCTGGCAAGGGTCTCCCCACAAGTCCTGCTCCCCTCTCCTGAAGTGGCTGCCACTCTTTCCTTTTATAGCTACCAGCCTGCATTTCAGAAGTTTCTGTTTCACTATTATTTCTAGTGGAAACAGGCAACTTTATACCACTTTTCAGTACATCCCAGAGACCGAACAAACCAGTTGAATTCAGACAACCCTTTCTAGTTAGAGAGGAAAAAGCTTATCCTGAAGAGATCAAAATAGTTTCACTTCAAAGAGGAACATTTCATCTCAGAAAGGCCCAAACAATTTGTTTCACAATTTCCTAAACATTTTTTTAAAAACTTTGTTATCAAAACAGCATCTTAAATTGTAAACTAGCATATGCTAAAAATTAAGAAGAGTAAACACAATATTTAATAACTAAAGATAAACAGAACATTGCTCTGGGTCAAAGAACTGTTTCAAACTGGTTCAATGTAACCCCTCAAAACTAAATAGCATATTGTTTTGCTGGAACTCTCCTCGAATTTCTGTTGTATCTTAAGGCAAAGGATTTTGCTTCTAGTGCTTCAGCCAGGTCACTGTGGGGGTTCCAGAAGAGGTGGGTAGTTGGAGGTGACAGCCTGGGAGCAATGTTCACCTGTCCCTGTCATTCCTCACAGTCTGCATCACACTGCCTGCCCTGCATCAGAGGCACTGGCAATCCTATCATGTCTCACCAGACTCCTATTAATGCTCCTGCCAAGCCCATCCCTGAAATGTCATCTCCAATCTCACAGACCGCCTGTCCTGCTGGAAGGCTCCAGCTGCATCCAGACAGTGCCCACAATGCAGTGGGAAGCAGCTCTGCTCCACCAGGTAGGACCCCAAGCAACCCAGGGCCCCCTTTACAGCCCAGCATCCATCGCACCCCTGCTGTGGGGAGGAGGATGACAGCTACACTAGTGGGGTCAGATGGGGCCTGGGGGAACCAGCTCTCACTGCCCCAGCCCGAGGAGATGTGGGCTTTGTTCCCAGCACTCACCAAAAATGGGCTCCCGATTTGTGATCTGCACCAGAGAAGTCTTGACTCCCATCCTAGAAGTTTCTTAATCAGACCACAAACTCTTCCATGCAGAGCACCAAACACAACCCCACGTTTTATGAGGCTCCTGATCTCTGCTACGAACAGCAATAACAGGAGCAATAACAATGTTATATGGTACCACTGCCACTGCTACTCCGAAGGAATAATTTAAATCCCATAAATAACCAAGCAATTAAAAAGAACACATGAAAAAGCTGTGTAACAACCAAAGTAATTATACATCATCCCAAACTGTATTTTCAGAGAATGTTTAACATTACCACTGGTATTACTACTGCTAACTAAACAGAGCAACAGGCTGCCAGGGCTTTAAATAAATTGTATCTATTAGCTTTGGCATTCTTCCTCGCAGCCAAGCATTAGCAGTGATGAAGAATCATTTAATACGGCTAATCACGGTAATTTTCTGCGCAGTCTTGTCATAACTATTCCTTCTTCTATAACCAATGAACTGGAAATGAACTATAACCAATGAACTCTGCTTTCTTGCACCAGAGGCAGAGCTCTCGAGGAAGGTCTTTTTCTCTGGCTGGGGGACTCAGGTGGGCCAGTCAAAAACGACAACAAAAAAGAGGGCAGAAGCCATTTTCTCCGTGGTGCCGATAGTTCAGGCCAGTGAGTTTTCCAAGAGGAAGTCTACAGAGAGGCAACAGCCACCCTAATAAGTTGGGAGAAAGGATTTCAAAGGATAATTTGAAGTCCTGCACTAGGTGCACCTGACAAAGTGACTTCTGCTACCAGACCATTTCTCCAGTCCCATACGTTTCACAAAACCCTTTCATTTGTCTCCCTGTACTGCAGCAATTCTGCAAACAACTTCCAGCAAGTTGCTTAGAGCTAATCCTCTGAAAATTCATTCTGTAATCCAAGGATTCATCGCTATGGAAACTGCTTATAATCGGTACTTTTTATAGCTTAAAACACCCAGCATCAACAAAAGGTATTGTAACTCCAACTGATAGTTATTGCATTCCCACTGGAGATTGTCAGCTCTGGAAAGGGGACATGCATCTTCCTGCTAATTTAAGGGAATGAATAATATGAAGGCATCTAATTAAGCTCATGAATGAGAGCTCTGCCAACATACAAAGATGAACCCATGATGCCATGCAGCAAGTGGTGGGTCAACATCAGGAGCAGTGGCATCAGCCCAGCTCAGCCACCTACTGAAGTAAGGATGGAGGGAAAGTCCTCCTGTGCTCTTCCTACTCTCCCAGTGCAATCAAGTCACAAGGCTCATCTTATATGATAAATCATGCTCAGCCCTTTTAAAAAGGCTTGATATCTCGTGGCCTGACAGCATTGGCCAAGATCAGTGCCTGAGCCTTGTCCTTGGCAGGGAAGGATTTACACCACATCAACCCACAGAGTTCAGCAGCAGTTTCCGATTACAGAGATGGAAGAGCACATTCAAGTGAACAGGACAGGAGAGTAGAAAATTTCAAATGCTGGAGGGAAGCCTGAACATTTTGAATCAACCATGTGAGTCTGCTATGGCCAAGTGCAGTCCTGCTCGCTTCGCCTTGCAGCCCAGAGGAACTCCACTTGCTTCTGCCCATCTCTGAGATGTGCCTGTGGAGGGAAAGAGGGGGAGGACAAAACTTAACAGTACCTGTGGCAGCTGGGAAAAACACTCCAAAAACAGTGAAGAAGGACTCCCCCTGGCTGTAGTCTGGCAGTGTGTTGTTGGACATCAGCTCTGCGGAGTAGCCGACGAAGCCGTTCTCTGCAAAGACAGGGCGAGAGGAGAACCTCAGAAACCAGCAAGGCTGAAAGAGACTCTCCAGCTGCTCTCAGCGACCACCCGTCCTCTCAACACACCAAACCAAACTGCAGCGGCTGCTTCCAGGGATCATTTGAAAGGATAACTGTCAACTTACACGGTGGGGGGCGAAGGCAGAAAAGAGGTCCGTGTGGTTACAAGGTTGCAAGTGCCAAGGAAAGGCGCAGGGGTGCAGACCAGCACATGGAGAGGAGGCACCACCACGCTGGGCAGCTCCTGCCACGCCAGAACATGGATTGTATGGAGTCCTGTCTCCAAGCAATCAGGACATCTTCCTGTGAAACGTGGCTACTAAGGAAAACTGCCTAAGGGATCAGATATTACATTTTTAATATTATCTATACTTATTTATCCATGCCAATTTAATCTTCTTTCCAAAATGAGGAAAATGATGCTGCCATAAGACAACTGCAATTCTGAGCAAGCCCTCACACCATATCCCAGTGCTGTGTTCCTGTTAGTCAAGCTCTTGCACAGACAAGACCTGAGATGTGCCCATGCTGTGAAGCTGCTACCAACACACCCAATTTATACATTGGTTGCCAATGAACCCAGAGCCAAAACCACCGATTTGCTGCAGGGTGGTCTCTCCCCTACAAGATGACTCTCTCAGTAGAGAAGGAATAAAGAGCTCTAAAACTGCCCACTGCCTCATCATACACTTACCCTCCTGATGCCTTTGCTCTCCTGTTGCTGCATTAGCATCTCCAAATCTGGTCAAAACATGGGGCTGTGCAGCACAACCAGCCGCACTCCCCCCGCCCCCAGTCTTCTATAAATGATTATCATGGCACAACAAGGAGCAAATGTAGAGACCCTTGGCTGTGCTCCACTCCCCACATCAACTTCTGCCCTGTCTTTCTAAGTCACACACAAAACCAAAAAGTTTTTCAGAATATAGGAGAGAGGGGAAAGCAATAGGCAGGACATCATCATCACGCACCTCATCTACTCATACAAAATGGAGGATCCTACTCCCTCAGTTCACAGTGGAAGATTAATCAAATTCTTCTACAAACCTGGATTTGTTAGGAAGAGTTGAGTCTGACAGCTGACGTACCAGCAGGGCATTCACTAGGAAAGGTTTTAGATGCTTACAGATAGAAAAGATAGCTTATGATAGCTATAGGTTAAGGAATTAATGGCTATGTCTATGAAATTAATAATTTCATTTTCAATAGGCAACACTGCCTTTTAATGGAGTATCTTAATCTATGGAAACTTCTCCTCCCTGTCAGTACTCCAAATGGTCGTGCCAGCTGGGGGTGGAAGGTGAGGAAAGTCGGTTCCTTTTTTTCTCCTGCCACTACAATCTATTTCCACAAGACATGTGACTGCAATAACCTGAATTTTCTCATTAGCAGGCAGGATGTTGTTTATGGCTGCACAGGGTGATGGCCAGAAATTAAAAAAAGACTCCATCAAAGCTGTCCCATGCCTCAAAGACAACATTAATAATGTTTGGACAATAGATTAAACCGGAAAATTAAATCAGAGCTCTGAACACAAGACATATCCATTTAAAGTCTCAGAATGTAACTAACCACAGAGCTTTGAAGTTGTCACTGAAAAATCCTATAGATAATCAAAAGTTTCCTACTACATCTGCATTCATTGTGTTTCCCAAACGTGGATGGAAACACACTGATAGAAGAGGTCTCCTGCTGCTAGGCTTTCTAAAAGCACTAGCTATCTCCACTAAGAACAAGTCCTAGATGAGATTTAAAGGGAATAAGCTCAGCACAACACACTGACCTCTGGACCTCACAGATGTCTGCAGAAAGTGCAGTTTCTGGAGAAATAAAGGGGGAATTTGTGTAGGCTGTATGTTCCTGTAAGACCAGACCTGAGTGCCTTCAACTGGGAACCACATCCATGATGGCACATGGGCTGGCTGCAAAGCTCCCACCAAACTGCTCAAGGAAAATTTGGTCCTTGGCGAAGGGATTTTTCACAAAGTATGGGCTCCTCATAGAAATGTTAATGTTTCATTAGTAAAACAAAAGAAGCGAGCAAAATATTCATCTCACCCAAGAAGATCTGCAGGCCTTCTCCAACCTGTGCTTCGCAGCAGCACCATCAAATACATCTATGTCACTTGACAGAAGTTTGCTCCGCTGATTCATAGAAGTCTCCCTTGAAGTGGACTCGATCCTCTCTTGATTGCTTACTCTCATATTTTCCTGTCTTTATCATTTAGGTTTCCCCTAACCACAAACTGTCCTTTTCACTCCATTTTCCTAGTTTGTGGAGGTCATCTGAAGGCCTGACTCTCTCTGCCAGATGCTGCATGTCCTTCCCAGCTGGGGGTCACCTTCAAACTGAATCTGCATATTCTCTTTAGCATCATCCAGGAAGCTAAGAAAAATGCCAAATAACACCAAACCAAAACCAGACCCTTGCAGAACTTCACCAGGCACAGTGTCCTGCTTTGCAAGTAAACCATCTCCAGCTGGGGTCTTCCACTGGTGTTTTGAGGCTATGTAATTCAAATGAGGCACTTTGGGTGCCTTCTGTTTCCTTCCTCATACAAAAGGCCAAGTATACAACCAGGCTGTATTTCCTGTGGTACTGTTTTGGCCATACTATGGCCACAGACTGACCATAAGACTCATGAGTCCAATGTCTGACCTGCATCTGTATGTATCTGACTGCTATTAATCTCAAGAAGTGAAATGATACCTTGTGCTCCATTCATTCCTACGTCCTTCCCTTTCCTACTTAATTCCCCTAAGCGGAAATCCTGGGTGAAAGAAACAAAGCCTGAAACCATGGCAGATGTCACTGGAACCACAGAAAACGACAGCCATGGATTTATTGAAAGAGCCACAGGATGTGCCTACATCTCTATCCCACTTCTGCTTCCTCTCCTCACGGCTCTGGCAGGTGAGAGGAAGCCCAGCCATTCCACATTTCCCCTGTATACAGAACCAGGAACTTTCTTGACTAATTAAAGAGAAGTTCATCCAAATGTTAGTTGTCATTGCAACCTCATTTCTCATTCAATCACCCTCCTGTGAAGCAAATCTCACATCCCTTTTGATTGGTTTTGCACCAGGATTTGCAGTCGCCATCAATTTAAGCAAACTATGGGCACAGGAGCACAAAGCTGAGGACAACACCCTGGGAGCATCTCCAGCCTGCCCTCGTGCCTGCGACCGGAGCGAGTCATCTATGACCTTTCAGCTGTCATATTAATGGGACTAATTGTAGCTGACAGGGCAATTGGGCTGAAAATCATCCAAAACAACACAGGAATCAGCAACTGAGACCAATCGGTTAAACCAACAGAGCACTTGGTCAGTTGTTCACAGAGTCAATTATCCACATCCCATTGAAAGTGCACTTCAAAAGGACGAGCTTCGGAAGGAGGAGGGAAGGAAATGCGATAGGGCCTATATTTGGCACTCTGATCTCTAAACAAGGCAAGATCGTTTTATTAATTTTTCTTTTGTAAGATCTTTTTCTCCAGCTTACTGCTGGGTACATGAGATTCAAAACAGATTCTTCCCTCCTCGCTCATTACAAGATGTTTGTCTGACAAATTTTCCTCTCGATCAATTTATGCAACCCCACAGCTTCTAAATTCTGCCTTTAACGATCCTGCTCTCAGCTGGCTTGCAGAGGGCTGGAGCTGAAGTGCTATAAACAATCTTCCCCGTGTCGTGCTAGAAGAAAAGAATCCAGTTCCTTCTCTGTGCCGTGTCAGCCTTATGGGAAATGCACAATAAAGAGTGGTAACAATTTATTTTCATCATTAGATACTCAATAAGGAGAAAGCAAATAATGGGTTTCTCAAGTGGTTGAGCTGATATAAATAAACAATTGGGAAAAATTGACTTAGAGCAACATCTGAATTATTCCTGTGATTTTTCACAAATTAAGTCCTTTTAGTTGCCCATATTACAATGGGTTTACAATAAAAACTGCCTAGCAAGTTTGAAATGGAAGAGCTTCCAGGATGAGCATCTTCTATTCGCAAGCACAGGGGGACCACAGGAGGCTGCACACCAGCCTGATGCAGCCAGAGGAGGAGGAGGAAGATGGTCAGGACTCTCACATCCCTCCAGCCACCAGGGATACCTGGGAGGAGGTACCAGTTTTCATCTGATTGCCACTGCTGCATTCCCCCTCTACTCTGGCAGGTTTCCATGTTTGAGCTTTTCTTGCACTTTCTCCCACTTCTGACCCTGTGGAAGGGCATGAAAGCAGCCAAGGAGGTTTTTGGCACTCAAGACACCCCTTACAAGGGCAGCCCCTCCATGAGGCCCGGGGTTTTGGAGGGGGAACTCCAAGAGGTTGGAGAAGGGGCGCAAGGCGAAGCTGCGGTTACGCAGGGTCAGGCCATTATGCAACGGCACAGAGGACGATGGCGTTGCCAAGTTCCAGGCAACCTGGAGCTCATTACAGACTAGTCAAGTCTTGGCCAAATTCAATAAGCCTGTTCACAAGCTTAAGGTTAAGCAAAGCCTGGCACCGAGGCAGAGGCTAAATAATGCAAAAATGGAAAACCACCTTAAGAAACAGCTCCCAGAAGACAGTTATGTATTGCACTCTTCTTGTGATTAGAGATTTTAATTACAAAGGTGAATGCTGAAGGCTTGAAATGGTTAGTGTTTTTTTTTCTTTTCCTAAAGACGTGAACCCACACCTTCCTGCCTGGAAGGTACTTGCTGAGATTTGCTTTCAGAGGAACAGCTGGAAGTGTTTGTCTTGCAGCACATTTCCTAGGTCTGATCTCAGCATTTTTGGGATCCTGTGTGATGTAAGACATGGAGAGCCAAAGAGTAATTATATATCCTTGGCATAATTATCTCTGGTCTCTCTCTTTTTCCCCTTTCTTCTTCCATCTCTAAACCCTTCTGGCATAAGCTCTGAAATCCAGTTGTTCCCCTTGGATGCCAATCCAAATACACACCCAGAACAAGGTCCTGGTGCAGGTG